GAAAGTACTAGTCATTATCAACGGGGAAAGTCTGAAGGAAGTCACTTCTTCCATTTACTACTTCGGCAGCATCGTTTCACCTGAAAACGATACGGATGAGGATGTCAAAGCCAGATAGGATCGGAAAGATAAGGCAGATCCTTATTACTTTGAAACCAGTGTGGAAAACTGCTGCATAAAGATGAAGAGATTCCAACACTAATGTTGAGTCGGTTAATTCCTTTATACGGTTCAGAGACTATACGGCGAGTATGTAAAGAAAAGCATTTCAAAAAGACATTTATCACCAGCTGCCTCCACTGGCTTAATACTGAGGATCAGATGGCCAGAAAGATTTAGTAACTAGAAACTCTGAAGATGAACGAGTCAAGAACCTATTATACGACAAATACGCAGTGGAAAATGGAAATGGATCGAAAACACGTTGAAGAGATTGTTCGGCAATATCATGTTTCAGTGTTGGGCTTTGGTCCGACAGTGAAGAAAATATGGACTAGTAGTGGAATCCAGGATGCACATTTCGTCCTATTTAGGACTCGTCACTGGATGTACCTGCATTCCGCAGTGAGTGATGATTTTCCCACCGAGGCTCGAACCAAGTGTCCATAGATTCAAACGCCATCGTCGAAGCATCTGCACATGAAGCCGACATGTCAACCTAAGACCGAACACTTCGGTCGAATCAATGTACAGGAAAATCTAAAGTTTAACTAAACTACTTATAACGTTTTAAGTAGTCAACACTTTTTATCATAATAAACTTTGAACTGAGTTAAAACCAGAGAATGTGTGAAAGCATGGTGAACGAAATATGACGCCAAGCTTGAAAGCTATTGTACATCATAATTGACAACCTTCGATGGTGTAGTGTAGTCTAAACAACTTAAAAAGAAGGTTTAGTGACTGAAAATAAGCATTCATTATGTGTTGGTAAGAAAATTGCAGTGTCACTTGTTATTAATAAGCCTTTCAATATTTCCATGAGACGATTTCAGAAGTTTTACAGGAAATACTAGTAAGGCAAGTGATTCAAATCATCCAGAATGTACTTCAGAGTAAAAATTTATGTGAAAGGCTTCAAAAAGAAACTACTTTTTCTAGTAACATAAATACTAGCGTTCAAAACGAATTTCTCGTCCTCCTGGATTTCATTGACGACATCAACTTGTTACATGCACCTAATTACCGGGGAGGAGAAACAAATTAAATAATGGACTGACCACTTCAAAGGACTCTAGAATGGACAATCACTTGCATCTCGCCCAGAAACAAACTACCAACAACAGCATGCACAGAAATGCCCGTGGACACTGATCCTACAACGAAAGTAGAAATCCTGGATGAGATCAAGCCACTGAAGTTCAGCAGGGCCAGATGGAATTCCCCCCGGAGAAATGAAAACGGGCCCAGAGACTGTGGTGCATGTGCTCATGCCACTACTGCAAAACGTTTGGAAGGAAGGAAAGTTGCGTACTGATTAGAAGAAAGCCTGGATACCATTGTAAAGCTAACATAAAAGGGCGACCTAGTTAGGCCTGGAGTGGAGTAGTGCTCTACTCCACGCCGTGAAATACTGAGTCGTGTCATCCTGGAGAGAATAAAATATGCACAGGATGCAGAACTCCAGCACTCATCGGAACAAACTGGATTCAGGAAAGGCAAATCATGTGCTGATCAAATTGCAACTCTGCGCATCGTCATCACAGAACAAAGCATAGAATGGCAGTCAAACCTCTACTTCGGAAACACCTCCGACAGAGAGCGTTGACCGATACGTAATACTTCAACACTATGGAGTAGAGTGCCCAAGTCTGTCTTTGTCAACGTCATTCAACAGCTGGCTATATGACAATGACACGTGTCAGGTGATCCACAACGAAAAATTCATCAAAGCGGCTGAAATAAATGCAGGAGTAAGACAAGCCTGTTGCCCTATTATCACCAAAGGTATTCCCAATTATGGTGGACTGGATTATGCATCAGACTATGCACAGAGAGTGAGAAGACAGGTATACACCGACTCTGGAAGACCTAGATTTCGCAGATGATTTATGTTTAATGGTGCACAAACTCGGAGACTTGCAGCCGAACACCAATAAACTGGCTGAAGAAGTTGCAAAGACAGGACTTCAAGTGAACATAGAGGAGAAACAGGTGATGAAGATAACCAACAAACCAAGCGACAGCAAAAGCAACTAGCACCAATCACTATCAACAGGAGAAACTTGAAAGAAGTCACTTCACTTATCTAGGAAGCATGGTTGCAACCACAGGCGGAACAGATGGAGATGTCAAAACCAGTCATCCATCCAGAATCGGAAAGGCAAGAAAAACCTTCATCAACCCTAAACCAGTTCGAAAATCCTCACTAACTCAGCATAAAGTACAAGGTCCGGATTTTCAACACAAATGAGTAGTCAGGCAGTCTATTTTTCTGCACGGGTCAGAAATTTGACCAACGTGTCAAGAAAAGGATTTCCATCAAGCCTCTTCAGACTTTTATCAATAGCTGCCCCCTTCACTGGCTCCGTACTGAAGATCAAATGGCCAGCCAGAGAGAATTAGCAATAAGAAACTCTGTTTGGTTGCGAACAAACCAACAGATTGCTCAATAAATATGTAGGAGAAAATGGAAATGGATCGGTGGGGCATACGTTGAGAAGGCCATCGAATGATATCGCGCTGAATGCAGGCCATCGCTCGAGTGGAGGGAGTCCCAATGAGTGGGTCATCGGTGTGAGTGACATGGAAGAGATCGTGTGACGAGTTAGAGGAGATGAGAGATTATGGTCAGTCGTGGAGCCATCTGAAGAGGACCGCATAAAATTAAAACAAAGCGCAGATATGTTGTTGAAGCCGTATGTTCCACTCGGAACCCCAACGGAATACTACTACTAATAATAATACAATTCGTCTTGAAGTATTATTAGTAAATACTGTATATTATTTTCTAAGTATATTCAATATTCAAAAGGAATCCTTTTTTTTCAAGTTGAAACTTTTCTCGGACTGACTGAATGAATATTATATTACTGACAAGATAAGTAGTAGAATTACGTCAAGCTATAAACTACTGATTGATGGAGATGAGTAGTAGTATACTACTCAAATCAACCAGGAATGTTCGGCAGCCAGACAGTCAGCCAGATAGAAGTGACCTCAACGCCAGACTCGTTTCCTGAGTGTCGAACTCATCAGCAATGTAACCGGTTCGACTAAGCTCAGATAGGCGAATCAGTCCAAACCACCTCTACACCCCCCCTAATTTCTGGCTAGATAGCTATATTGGCCAAACTGATAACACCATTTAGCCAAATTCTCCAACTGTGTAAAAATTGGTGACTGCTAAGCAATTTACAAATTTCGACTTCAATCCAAGATAATCAATGTTTGAAATTCATTGCAGTAAATGAAAAATTTTGTTACACGATTTCATCATGAGCTGACATAAGTTAGAGAACCATTGGAAAACCAGCTGGAAGTACTGGACAGCTGCTTCGTCACACTAGTTTGGGACTCTTCAGCAGTACGCATTCACCGGGGTTCGAACCCAGAACCTTCTGGTTACAAGGAGAGCTGGCTCGTAGACCATTAAGCCACTGAGACCCAATCCAATGGCCCATGAAATTAAACTTCTGCTAGTTGGCAGATGGGATGCCCACTAGCGACTTGTCCTATTCAGGTTACCTGGGGTTCTCTAACTTATGTCAGCTCATGATGAAATCCTGTACCCAATCAAATCCCTACAAACCAACACTTGAAAAATTTTTTAATTACTATTATTAATTTTTCACAGAATAACTGCAGTGAATAGAATGTGCCATAACACTGCTGTGCATCACGATCTGATTCCCATCTGCATACTAACATCCAACTACATCTTCACGACCTCCAGAAAGGATAACCAACACGGAACTCTGTCAACGTACCAACCAACAACCTACTAACCAACAGATATAGCAAAGAAAATCGAGATGAAACAGACACATACTGAAGAGAACATTGAAGGAAACCATGCACCAGGCCCCTTCAGTGAAACCAGAATGTAAAACAACGAGTTTGGTATGTATCACAGAGGGATATGTAGGCGATCGTATGACAAAAGATAGGAAGGCTTATGGGCAATCATCACCTGAAAATGATTGCAGACTACCAAGTGAAAAGTTGATGCATTGACGAAACTTTAAGCTTCATTAACAACCTAGGAGAAATAATAATGACAACAGTAACGCTAACTGTTTTCATGTCAATTTTGATTACCCCGCTGATTGAGTGGACCAAGGTGTTCAGCCTCCATTGACATATCAACTCTTAGTACGGACGCTTCCACGACATCTGAAGATCACCATGCAGCTTTTTGGTGTATAGAGAGTAGCGACTGAATGTAGGATGCACGCACTTCGTCCTACTTGGGAAACACCAGCTGGATGTGTACGTATTCCGCAGTGAGTGATGGAGTTCCAGTTGAGGCTCAAACTCGGTGCCTATCGTTTCAAACAAAGCAAAGCGTTATCCACTAGACCACTTAGGCCACGACAGCCACTTTTTTGCAGCAAGCGTCAGTTATTATCTTCATCAAGTTGTTCGAAACGATGAGTACTGGGTTGGAGTCTCACTAGGAACACAGATGATGAGGCCCAAACAGAACGAAATGCATATCTCGGAAACCACTGCTAGTTAACATCCACCACATGATTTCTTAATAATGCTGTTTTTATGCATTCCCTCCGAATGATTCTATCAGATCTGCTGGTAAGCCGTTGAAATACAAGATTAATGGGTGCGTAGTGCTGAAGAGCACCAAACAAGGACTAAACATCTGCCTAAACCTCCATGCTTGTCTTCAGTACTTCCCTAACTGATATCACTACGTGAATAATCTTGGAATGCAAGCTAAAACTCCCTAGCCGAAATCAAAATAGCTCAACTTTATAATTACACTTTTTTATTCATATACTACTGATTTCTTGAATAGTAGTGAAGCCAAAAACAAACAAATAAAACACCAGCATGAATAAGATGCCCGTTGTTACATCGATATAATATAATCACTGCTGAATGTTTCAATAGACGAATGAATGAATGAATAAAAAGCCACAAACTCTCAGAGAAAGACAAATCATAGTCTTCCTTTTTTACATGAATATTACACACAGAATTTTTTATAATCACCACTTCCTTCACGCCTTTTATTCTGGAAGTGGAGCTTGGAGTGGGCCATGTGAGCAAGAAAATAGAAAACCGAGGGGAAATAAGGATAGTTAAAACAAAAAAGAAAAGAATCCATGCGAATGAATGCAATATAGGGCGTATACACGAGTTCGTCAGTGTGTGTGTATGTGTGAGAGAGAGTTAAAACGAAACAGAACGAAATACAAATAAAGCCAAAATATATAATTAGAGAGTACTTTTCATTTTGTCAGTCATCTATCTTCTTCTTCTCAGTTAAAAACACACACATTCTCTCCGCCTTCTTCACCTCTAACCGAATTGTAGATGATCTTTATGTCTCTACATTTGTTTCAGGGAATATTGAGAACTGAAAACTTGCTGTGATATAACAGACACACGCACACACACACACAAACACGCATACAAACAACTAGAACACTGAACTATACGTATATATATATATATAATGGTAAACTCAAAGTAGAACTCGAAAAGTACTCACTCTTATGAACCAACCAAATGACAAAATTTTACAAACAACAATAACAACAACAACATCACGCAAATATAAAAACAAACAAATAATAATCACAACTAATTGAAAAATAAGATATATTCCTCGAATTGTAAACTGTTAAAATATGAGAGTGAATCAATCAGTCACTACCAGTGATTAAGTTGACGATACTCTTTCTCTCTCACACACACACACGCACACACGCCCAAGCATACACGCACGCACGCACGCGCAATAATGAATGGTTTGCATTCACTCAAACCACATTGTGAGCAAGGCGAGCATACACAATAATCGGTGCAATCAAATATATATTGGTCACATTTTGGTGATAAATCGATAATCCATATATGTGTACCAGGGGAAAATTACAATATCAATTAGAAAAATAACAGTAATAATAATAATAATGGTAATAATAATGAATAAACAATAAATGAAAGTCATTATGTCTAGTTAGTAATTGTATATCAGTTTTTGTATCTGTGTGTGGTATAGACGAGAACACGTTGACCACCTTGTTACTTTATGACATCACCCACACCTCTTTATCACAAACAAGTTTAAAATTATGAATAATGATTAAAATGTCAATGTTTACTTCGTGTGTGTGTGTGTGGGTGGGTGTGTGTGCATAAATGAGATAAACAAACCGACAAACAAACGAACAAACGATAAACACAGACACATAGTGTTCATGTATATTATTGTGAATAGGTGAGAGCAGGTCAACCAACCTATGCAGTCTTCACATTTACATCGGTTAGTAATAGATCATCCTCGCCAGAATCATCCCTTGTTGTTGGAGTTGACGATGTAACCGTTGTAGTTGAAATATTTGGCGCTAATGTAGAAATATTTTGAGGAGATGAAGATAAAACACCCTTGGCTTCATTACTATCACCTGGTTGTACTGATGGTGATGATGATGATGATGATGATGATGGTGATAGTGATTGTGGACTGGTAGATTTTATTACATTAGGCAATAAATGACTCGATGAAGTTGAGGATGAGATATTCATTGTCTCATTGCAATTATTATTATCCTTATCATTATTATTATTAGATAGACTTTGAGATTCAATAGCTGGTGGACTAGAACTCGAACGACCTGACGATGATGATATTGGTGATGATTTAACATCAACCAGTTCATCATCTTCATCATCTAAACAGAAGGTAATAAACACAAGGAGCAATGAATAGTGCTACAACGAATAAAGGAGAGACTGACTAACTGACTGAGTGACTCCCAATGCAGAAATTTCCACAGAAGATAGAGAGAGAATAATTACATGAAGAAAAAAAAGAATGACGGTTTGATCGACCTGGAAGGCTACACAGACGACAACGAATGTATCTATGCCAGTGAAAAAGATTGTGAGCTATATCACCACCAATTGTCTCCAGGAGTCAGTGGCTGTTAGATAAACTCCCGAGGACTCCAACCAGCTAAGCAGTCTATACCTCCCTACTTGGATGGTCCAAAGTAACTGTCAAAGATTTCGTGGACTGATGATAGCTTTTTTCTTCTTTGGTTTGACTTACTCTACCCTCTTTTCCAAACTAACATTTCGCGTCGAAGAAGGCGTGACACATGTCCTAACCGTTTCATAACCGCGTCGACTGATTTCCCCCTCCTCACCTATCCAGCAATGAACGCCTGACGTCAATATTCCCTTACCTTGTCATACCACTTAGTATGGATATAGAACGCAGACACCTATGATCAAAGACAGCTAGCCAGTCTTTTTTATGTCTTCCACTTTCAACGGCCATGCCTCGCTCATAGCCATAAAGGAGAACAGAGAGAACTGTTGAGCAGTACACATGCCCCTTTGGTAGACAGCCGGATATCACGTCTACACACAACAGAAATGACTGACATAAAGGAGACGAGAGCTTACGAACAATCATGGAACCCTATGAATATACACTGATGAAGAGTGCGAAACTACAACGAAACAATTGTCGGGTTTTCCAGTGGTTCTCTATCTGACTTTTCAGATCATGATGATCGAGTCAGCTAAATACGATGTGGTATTGAAGCCCTATGTTCCACTCGGAACTTAAGAGGATAATAACAATAGTAATAAAATGTCAGAACGTGAACATAGCAGTGGACTGTGCCCCAACAATTAGAGTCATTGTTAGTGCATATGCTATAAACCCACTCACAAAAATAGCTCATATGGAATTTCAAGGTGATCGCTGATACAGGTAAATCTAAAATATTAGTCCATAGGATTGAAAACAAAATCCAACGAGGTAAAAGTGTCTGATTTTCATGCACTGAAAGTTCAAATGAGGACAAATTAGTCAAATAATTTATATTCAGGTTTACTAGAAATCAATTGATATGAAAGTCATTCATATTATTCATATGAATATGTGTATATTTTTGTCTAGTTCTCTGTAATATATCCATTAACGATAGAACTGTAAAACGCTGATTAACTTACTATCATAAATAATAAAAATAACTATCAGACATCTCATAAATGAAACAAATACAACGTTGTGCGTCGATAGCGCAACGCCTCACATGATCCAGAGCTCGATACTCAGTCGATAAACTCTTAAACCTCACTAAACCATTAGTAAGGCCTAGTAAAGAGGAGAGGTTGGGAGTGAGGCCAAAAACTAGTAATTGAACAAAGCAAGAACAACAATTGTACCGGGATAATATGAGCTCATCTTTCATTATTTCGAGGATTCTTCTCAACTGATTACAACATGAACGATAAAAAATATGAATTACATTAAAGATTTGAACGTACTTTTCCACGATCACAAGGAGTGATTGGTAGAAAGTAAAACTAACATTAGTCCGGAATGCTTGCCTCCGATAGCACCAACGTGCAAATTATTCTGAGGTCCGGCAATGTGTTTTTGGACACAGGGGAAGGTCACCTTTCATTGAGTGGTGTTACCTTGAAACACTGTTTTTCGGGGGCTTAGATATATGCTACAAATGTCATTATCCTAGCCACTTCCCATACCACCCGCTATTCGCTAACGCTGAGGAACTGGATAAGTATGCCAAGGTATGGCCAAGAATCGTATTCAACGGTGATGAACATGATCTAAATCCTTTCTTTCTTCCCTTTCTGGATGAACTCCTTCGTTTATTCTATCCCTACTTCACTTGTATATTCTGGTTTTACTATTTTTGTATGATGCGTTTCCTGGTGCCCATAATGTACCACGTTTGTGTTTGTGCCTCACTATCATCTAATTTTATAAAGCAAAAATTATGACACGAGAAAATTCCATAACACAACTTTAAACACTGGCGATGAATACCTTTCCCTTTTTCTTCTATAACACTGATGGATAATGTCATTAGAAAGAGGAAGAAGTAGCTTTATATAAAGATCTTGGGTGCGTTCTGTCGAAGAGCCCTAAACTAGGACGAAACAGGCGTCCATAACTCTTTTCTAGTTTCCAATGGTTCCCTCAATAATATCAATCCGTCATCAAACGTCAAATGCAAATCGAATCCCTGCAAACTAACCCTCAAAAATTGATCTGATGCTGCGCTCTAATGACTGGCTATACGACGAAGTTGACTGGAATACTAGTGAGAAGTCATGACCGACAGTGGGGTCCACCCGGTTGGGAGTGAGAAAAAATACTCACCCCCGATGACACTGGTTGGCGGTTGCGCTGAAACCACAAAATGGGTAGAACACAAAATAATTGAGCAAAGAATATCCTCATTTCGATAATTTCCTCTTCTGGCTCTACAATTAGATATCTGTATGTTTATATACATAGGATATTCTAGATTTGTAGTCAACAACACTATTAGTGTTTTTTAAATAATATGGATTTGTTAAGTAAGATCACAATGGAATTACCACAGTTCATTAAAGATGCTTAAATTATAATAATAATAAAGATATAGTAGCGAATAGAATATCAACTAAAACTAGGAAAATTCCAAAAAAATTCAGGATCATTCAAACATAGATGGCCAAGGTAAGGACAATGTGTAAACTGACTTCTTTTGGATGCACAAATTAGGCTTGTTATTATGTATCCCAACAGCCTCAGCAATATTCAGTAGTCGAACTCTTAGGGCGAAATTGAGGTTCGTAGGTATGCGGTAGATTACCCTGAAAGCATGGTTAACGTCAATCTTGTGTTCTGTATCCACAAGATGAGATAGAATAACACTACGAATAGATTTTGTTTGTCCTTAACTTAACCACTATGCAGGGGGATGTTCGAAAATTCGAAGAGAAACACACCCAGTTGTGCGGCCTATGTAACAGGCTCCAGAGGAGCAGTTAAATTGGTAGATACACATGGAAGAGGCGAAATTAGGCTGTTTGTGTTTTACTCCCGAACGCAAAAGAGGAGTGGTTGTAAAGATCACCCTGAGTGGTTAAGCAAAGGACAAACAAAATCTATTCGTAGTGTTATTCTATCTCATCTTGTGGATACAGAACACAAGATTGACGTTAACCATGCTTTCAGGGTAATCTACCGCATACCTACGAACCTCAATTTCGCCCTAAGAGTTCGACTACTGAATATTGCTGAGGCTGTTGGGATACATAATAACAAGCCTAATTTGTGCATCCAAAAGAAGTCAGTTTACACATTGTCCTTACCTTGGCCATCTATGTTTGAATGATCCTGAATTTTTTTGGAATTTTCCTAGTTTTAGTTGATATTCTATTCGCTACTATATCTTTATTATTATTATAATTTAAGCACCTTTAATGAACTGTGGTAATTCCATTGTGATCTTACTTAACAAATCCATATTATTTAAAAAACACTAATAGTGTTGTTGACTACAAATCTAGAATATCCTATGTATATAAACATACAGATATCTAATTGTAGAGCCAGAAGAGGAAATTATCGAAATGAGGATATTCTTTGCTCGATTATTTTGTGTTTTATAGATGTCTGAATGAATATTTTTGTTAAATTGGTAGAAGTTGGAATTCATGGGCTAGCCATTGGGTAGAGTCCCAGTGGCTGAACGGTCTAAGAGCTCGCCTTGTTTTGTGACCCGTAAGGCCCTAGATTCGAACCCTGGTGGTGGGTGTGCACCGTCGACGAGTCCTGAACCAGGACGACACAGTTAACCAGCACTGCTTAGTAGTTTTCAATGGTGTTTCCCCAAAATGATATCAATCCGTCATCAAACTTGAAAAGCTAATCAAATCCCCACAAACTGACGCTAAAAAAGATGGATAAATCAACTTACCAACTTGACGAAACGATGATTGTGTTGTTTTAGGATGCCTTGATTCTAGATAAGAATTATGCATACCAGTATCATCATCATTACAAGTATGACATTCAACTGTACTACTTGTATTGAAGAGTAACGGAGTTCTTTCTTCACCAGCTTCATAATGTCCATTAGACTGTTGAGATTCTACAGACGCGCGTCGATTATCACGATCATAACTATTACGACGTCTGATAAAATTATACAATCGTCTTGGAATAGATGCTAATCGATCATTATCATTCACCACCTCGACATCACTTTCATCAGGCATAGCAGGTGCACCTGGTAGTTGAACTATTTGATTACATATTGGACAACGTCGACGATTGCATAACAGCCAAGGATCTATGCACTTCATATGGAAAGCTGAATAAAAAATTGGGGAGAACAAAATGAGAAAAAGTAGGATGAGAAAACAAATATGACTACTACCCCCACACTTTTAAGAAAGTTGTCTTTTTCTATTGGTAGATTCTCGTCACGAACCAACGCATCGGCTGACTTTCGATAGCGTTGACCGCAAAGTAATTTGGAAACTAATTCAACACTGCCGAGTGAAGTGTCCCAAATCCTAATCAACCTCATTCAACAGTTGGCTGATTATATGACAATGCCACGTGTCAGGTGAGCCACAACGAAAAACTCAACCAAGCAGCTGAAGTGAACACTGGAGTAGGACAAGGCAGCCTGCCTATTATCACAGATGATATTCTTAATTGTGGTGGACTGGGACTATGCACAGGGAGTGAGAAGACAGGAATACGTTGGACCACCGATAAGAAGACTTTAGGAGATCTGGATGTCGCAGATGATATATGTTTAGTATTACACAAACTCGAACACTTGCAGGCAGGCGAAAATCAACAAACTGGCAGCAAATGAGACAGGCAGCAAAGACAGGACTTTAAGTGAACATAGAGAAGACGGAGGTAATGAAGATAACCACTGAACAACAATAACAACAACAAGCATTAATCACTATCAACGGAAGAGATTCGAAAGAGGTCACTACCTTCAGTTAACTAGTCAGCATTGTTTCAACTACAGAAAGACTGTACATCCCGACTTACACCACAGCGATCTGTAGGCGGTGGTAAGTTATTAATACGGAACCAAACCTAAAAGCCAGTTCATACAGGCCGTGTGTGACCCGCCTGAAGCAGTTGTCTCCTGGGCTCTGCAGTCACGCAACAGATTCTCGTTCTGTTTCAGGTGTCCCAAGAAAGGATAGACTTACACAGTGTGGGCAGTCGGGAAGTACCAACCGCCAAGACACTTCCAAAAGCTCACGAAGCCTTCATGATCATAGTCCTATTGTTGGGGACTCTTCAACAGTACGCACCTTCTACGTGACTGGAGATCAAAACCATCAGCTTACAACTGGAGCTAATTTACGATTCCAGTCACTGGAATAGCAGCATCCGATGGTCAATCATGACTTCCAACTCCTTTCAATTCGTGATTTTTTAGCGGCAACGCCAGTCAAACTACCAAAAACCAATCACATCCCTACAAAATAACACAACTGAAAATTAATCCGATGCTTACTGGTAACTGACTCTACAGAATGACGTTGTCTGCAGTTCTAGTGAGAAGTTTCAACCAACGGGGACTACCAGGTCACTGGGTGAGGACAAACACCTACCGATGACACTGGTGCTAAAAATTGCGAACTGACAAACATTAAAATTCATGTACCGGCCATTTGATTCCGTTCCAGTGGTTGAATCGTCAACAAGTTGCAGTCTCGTAACTTGAAATTTGTGGGTTTGGATCCCTGGTGGTTGTAGGAACCCAGACAGTAGGTTTTCAAAAGGTTCACTAACTGATAACAATCCGTGTTCAAATTTGAAAACAGTGAATTAGTGATGCAAGTAAACATAACTCAACGTAGTGTTAGAACTATATATACACTGACTGACTACTCTCAACATAGAAAGTTGCACAAAAGTTAGGCTGTTCTACTTGCCACACTCCAAGTTGCACACAAAAGAAGACAATAATAAGAAGATATGTGAAATATTCAAAATAGCATATCACAAAGAGTGAATGCATCTCTTCACAAGTGAGAACAATTTTGAGTCATATCACGCATTGTCTCCAACCAAACAGTATACAGCTCCCTACGTGACTGGTTCAAACTAACTATCAAAGCCTGCATGGACTGGTTGCAACTTTCGATTAGGACCACCACTAACTCTTTTCCTTACCTAATCCCATGCTAGCTAGCAATTCCCACCGAGGAAGGTGATACCTCAGAATGCGTAACACGTGTGCTAGCCATCTCAATCGATTTAGCTTCACAACCTCAGAGACTGACCTACCCTTTTTACCAAACATTCGACGCATAACCTCATTATTACTCACACTATTATACCACCTAACACAGGATATAGAACATAAATGTCCACGATCAAAGATAGCTTGCCTTTTCATGTTTATATATATATATATATATATATATATATATATAGAGAGAGAGAGAGAGAGAGAGATCAAAGGCTGATTGAGTATTAATTTCACGGTAGATTTCATCACGATTGATTGGTGTGATTGATTATCTTGTTTGTTTTTTCGGTAAATAAAAAGACAAAACAGCCAAAACAGCTCGAAGTATTTGTTTTTTTTCTTTTTTTTACTCCTAAAAGGTGAAGAACACCATTTTCTGATCAGACTATAAGCGCACAATAGTCAGACACTTTATTTACTTGTCATAAAATGTGTGTATGTATAAGCACATATAAATGTATTATTACCACTATCTCTATTCATCAATTGATGAAGTAAGTCTTTAACAATCTCAATCGATTCGAAAGCAAAAATAGTCTATACATACATGTTATCACGTCAGTGATCAATTTATTTATTAGCATCAATCAATCAACCAATGAATCAATCAATATTGTTTCTTGTCTTCAAAAATCAATTTCAACTTTGAAAATTCCAGGTTACAAATTAAATACATTTGAATTAAATTATATATATATATATCTTAACTTTTTATTTCACTAGATATAGATCGATAAATTTCATCAGCACACACTCATTATGTGATTGAAAATTAGATAACGAAGTGAAATCGGTCGTCAGAGTACCATTTCAAAATCAGCTATTTCCACTACTTAATACCACAAATCTTTATCAACTTCATCTAACAGCTATATGGTGATGACGATGTTGCCACGTGTCAATTGATCTACAATGGAAAAAGTTAGCGAAATCTCTAACGTGAGAACAGGAGTAAGACAAAACTATCTACTTACCATCAACGATGATATTCCTATTAGATGGTTGGAGGCAGTCGGTAGGACGCCTTGACTTGACTAGGTTTCGTGCTAGTTGGCACTTACTCACCAGTCAGTTGACGTCATTTGACGGCCTCCTCAACGTATGCCCGATCCATCTCCATTTTCTCCTACATATTTGTGAAGCAATCGGCTGTCACCTATTGGTTTATTCCCAGCAGACAACCAGAGTTTCTTGTTGTTAATTCTTTCTGGCCGGCTGGCTGGCAGGCTAGCCATTTTATCTTCACTATGGAGCCAGCCAGTGAAGTGTACAGCTGTTGATGCAAATCTGAAGTGGCTTGTTAGAAATCGCTTTCGTGACGCGCACTGCCAGTTTCTTACCCGTATAGAAGAACTGACTGACTGACTTCACACTTTTGTTGAAAATCCGAATCTTGTTCTTTGTGCTGAGTCAGTGCAGAAAATCTCCAAACTAAAATCAGGTTGATGAAGGTGGATCTTGTCTTTCCGATTCCAGCTGGCTGGCTGACTGGCTTTGACATCTTCATCCGTTCCGACTCCTTGTGGTTAAAACCATGCTTCCTGGCCAGACAAGTGAAGGAAGTAACCTCTGTCAAATCTCTCCCACTGATGGTGACCGGGGTGCTGGTTGTTGTTGGTGGTTGGTTATCTTCATCACCTCCGTCTTCTCTATGTTCACCTGGAGTCCTGTCTTCACTGCCTGCCTGCTTCTTCTGCCAGTTTATTGGTTTTCGCCTGCCTGCAAGTCTTCGAGTTTGTGTGCCACTGGACACAAATCATCCGCGAAAACCCAGATCTTCTAGAGTCTTCTTGTCGGTGCAACTTATTCCTGTCTTCTCACTCCGCACAGTTTGACGCACAATCCAGTCCACCAAAACTTGGAATATCATCGGTGATAACAGGCAGACAGCCTTATCTTACTCCTGTATTCACTTCGAACGCCTCGCTAAGAAGATATATATAGATCACATTCTTTTACATGATGAAAAAAGAGGTTTAAGTGTATGTCTCAGAAAGCAAACAGTTTGGTCATCACATTACATGATGAACACAAACACTTTTTTGTTGAGAAAATGTTCTTATTTTTATCGATCTTGATAGTATATACAACATATATATATATATATATATATATACGTATGCGAGACCAATGTAGTGAGTAGGAACTGAATTTTATCAAAGGTGTGAGCATTTCATCAGCTGAAAGATTATTGACTGCAAAACATTTCACATTCTTGGTCACAATTTTATCACAAGGCACATTGACGATATATTAGCCTACCTTATTTATTATTCACTACACATAGAGTCGTGATGCCTTAGCTGCATACAAATGTCAATATTTAGATTATTCGTATATATATATATATACATATATATATATATATTTACACCTATGAATGAACATTAGCCTTTATTTTCATTTTATTTCTTTGCGTTCTGAGTGGAACATACGGGGCTTCAAGCTTTGAATTTTTAGAAGTAGAGGTGTTATTCCCTTTTTACGCCCAACTTTCCCTCTGTACCGGGCTTACAACCGAATAAACAGGGTTAAGGAGTGAGTCGATGGGGAATCGAACCCAGGACCAGGTGAGAGACATGGTTAGTTCTATATTGACTGCTTGACTAACTGGCTGCAACAAAGAACTTGGTACAGAAGTGCAACAATCCAATTTGCCACACTCCAATTAGAACAAAAAGGAAGATAAAACAGAGAGGAAAAAAGAGACTGAAAAGAACGGCAGTAAGTGAAGCAGAAAGAAGAATAACAGTGGGAAACAATAGAATTTTAATGGATATTGGAGATTATAGAGAGCGAATACATCTGCGCCAGTCATTGAGGACGATTTTAAGCTCATATCATTAACAACACCCTCTAGTAATTGGTTCTCAGCATCCCGATGACCTCAATCGCCCTGTAAACATTCCCTCCCCCCTCCGCCCTACGTGGCTGACTCCAAACTAACTGTCAATGATTTCATGCTTTGGTTTGACCACAACTATGTTTTTTTACAATCTGATCTTCCCTGTGTCAGCTAATACTCCCTGCCGAGGAAGGCGATGACTAGACATGCGAAGCATATATCCTAACTATCTC